GCAACCTCCGCCTCCTGGGTTCAGGCAATTCTCCTGCCTCAGCCTCCTGAGTAGCTGGGATTACAGGCACGCACCACCATGCCCAGCTAATGTTTTGTATTTTTAGTAGAGACGGGCTTTCACCATGTTGACCAGGATGGTCTCCATCTCTTGACCTTGTGATCCACCCGCCTTGGCCTCCCAAAGTGCTGGGATTACAGGCTTGAGCCACCTCGCCCGGCCCTAACCAAGTAAATATTAACATCAACTACCCAGAACAATTTTTCATGATGTGCTGTCGCACACAGAAACACACAGCATCGCTGCTGAGATACTGCCCCTCAAAAAGTAAATCATAGACTGAATTTAACCATAAAGAAAAATTAGTTTTATGCAAAGGTGAAGATATCTCCCATATTCTATACTTTCTAACAATGATTTTAAGTACTCTTTCTTTAGCACCCTAGAGAGCAGGTATCTCTCAATAATTTTCTTCAGAACTTCCTGGGTAATAAATGCAATCCCGTTTAAATAAGCATTTTCATAATCCTGTTCTGCATAGTGCTAATGGAGAACACAGATGAAACCTCAACATTATATGTTCTCCATCTTTACTAATGACCTCAGCTTTCCCCCAATAGGAATCATGAGTATCTACATCTTTCCATGTTCAACAGCAACAAAAGGAACACATTTAATATGGAAGATCATAAATTTATAGTAGGAATTCTGCATTGCATATAAGAAGGCATGATGTAGAGAAGTCTTTGGTACATAGGAAAGAAATATTTTTTAGAGATCAACTATCACAACAATTTTAAAATGTACTTGAAACAAACTCACTGGGGAGGAAAAACACCAGTAGACAAGTAAAGGTTTGTGAGTCCTAAATGCTTGGCACTCCAGGAGGCAGGGTGGACACAGCTCTTGATCTGAGACATGTTTAGCTGAAAAGAAGCCATTTTTCCTCTTTTTCCTCTTTCTCTGGAAATCCTTTTCAGAGAAAATTCAAGTAATACCTGTATCTTGAGAAAATTCCCTTAAAGGCATCAGCACCAGCTACTTACCTGCTAGCCTCACACCCACAGACAGAAGGACCAAGACCAAAAGGTCCACCCATTTCTCTCCTTTAAAACAGAAGAGATTCAGGAACAATTAGCTGAATGGAAATAAAAATATATGTTCTTCTCCTATCTGCATGTGCCCTCCCTGCCATACACACCAGCAATTTCTGCTACAGTAATGGAAATATAAGCCACACTGCCCTGTCTCTACCAAAGCAAAGGTGGCACTTAACTCTCAGGAATGTATCTTGAAGCCCTCATACTTGATTCTGGCCTCATCTTAGAGTCATATGAGGGACTTAATTAAAATAACACGAACGCTTCCATCCAGGACAATAAACAAAACCAGTGAAAAGGGCACAAGTAAGATTTCTGCAAATTGACCATGTAATCTCAATGAGAAGAGTGGGCTGATAAGCACTGCCTCTCAAGCTTTAACGAGCTTAAAAATTACTTGGTAATGTTGGTCCCACTCTGTGTAATGTGAATCTGCAGGTTTGGAAAAACACCATGAATGTGTGTTTCAAAGAAGTTTCACTGCCAGTGCAGATCTTGCTCCCCCTGGGTTCATTATTAGCAGTAGTTACAGAAAGCAGGCACAGCACAGATTCCATACACTCAGCACTCTTGTCATAACACAATACTTCTGATACGAATGAAGACAACCAATCTCCATCCTAAAGTTTCATATTCTTTGCTGGCTCTTTAAAGTTTTCTGAGGAAACAGAAAGCAGCAATTTCTGAATAAGTCTGCATTTGAAAAACAACAGGTACGGCCGGGCGCGGTGGCTCAAGCCTGTAATCCCAGCACTGTGGGAGGCCGAGGCGGGTGGATCACGAGGTCAAGAGATCGAGACCATCCTGGTCAACATGGTGAAACCCCGT